GGACTAAGAGAGAGAGAGAGAGAGAGAGAGAGAGAGAGAGAGAGAGAGAGAGTTTTGTTCCATTTGTTGATACGAGTGTGTGTGTGTGTGTGTGTGTGTGTGTGTGTGTGTGTGTGTGAGAGAGAGAGAGAGAGAGAGAGAGAGGCTGAATGGCAAAATTGAAATATAGGTCAAATTGCGGCCGCAATCTATTTCGCAGTTGGAATGATTTTTTTTAGTATGTAGCGTTTTTCCTGGAAAGATCACAACAAAATCTACGAATACTCCAATTTTCAGGTTTTTTCATGCATTCTTCTAAGCGCGAAAACTCACCGAATTTGGAGTACTTTTTTAGTTGGCCCAGCCATGGCTGAGTGGCAAAAATGGAAAACGTGCTGAATCGGCATGACGATTATTTCGCAGTCTAAATGATTTTTTGTAAATGTTCTATTATTATTTCTGGAAAGAACACGACCTCATCTATGGATTCTCAAAATTTCAGATTTTTGTGCATGTTCGTCTGAGCACAGAAAAWCGYCGAAGTTGCCTCTTGCAAAACGCCTGTTTCGTTGTGCCTGACCTCCCTGTTTTGAGAAGACGGGGCTCAACGCCTGGGCCTGAGGGCCCTTTTGCAGTTCACATGCCCTCACTTCTTTTTGGGGTCCGCTTCTACCCGAGGACCGGTCCAATGCCCCTCACTTCTTTTTGGGGTCCACTTCCACCCGAGGACCGGTCCTTCGTTTTTCCAAAAGTCCCGGTTCTACCAGAGCTAGCTGTAGGTAGTCCGCAATTTTGGCAAGGACCGGTCCCCCAAATTTTTTTGCCCCCTAAGAACCCACTTTGCGTCCTGGTCGCCCGCCGCCGAAAATGCGACACCTTTACACAGACGCGGAAGCCCACTATACCGCAGCCTAAGGGCTGCAAATACAATGTTGAATGACTGATCCATAATCAATATCCGAGTCCCTCTTCTACTGCAGGTATCACTTGAGGTCCACCATAGCCATGGTTGCCTCCCCCGCTCTCCACTCTCATAGGCCGAGGCTATGGCAGACTACTAGGCCTTGCCCAGATGCCCAAAGGACAACCTAAAGCAGCTACAACTGCTCTAGCTCAGGCCGCTATGGCCAACCTTGCCCTGAAGCTTCTTGGTGTGGCTCTCCCCAGTTGGGGACTCCCTGTTGTAGCGCCCACCAAGGTGATGAAGATGGCTGCCACCATAGCCAGGTAAGTACCCCTGGCGCACCTCCCCCTTCCTTCCTTCTTCCTCCCTCGTGTCCTTCTCCTTCCTCCCCAGCAACGCTGCTCCAGCCAACGCTCCACCAGTGTGTCGCCAAACTTGCACACCGAAAAAAAGGCCGGCCAGAAGATATAGCGTTCTGCTTTGCCTCTTCGGCGGTGACTTCCAGGCCACTCGGGCTCCCAAGCAACGGGTACCTCATCCCTTTCGGAAGGAAACATCATTGCAGACTCTGATATTGACCGTACAGGCCTTAGACCCAGACTGGTTGGACTGATATCCGCCTAGACCTAACCTACAACTAATGGGCCTCTAAAACTGCCACTTTTGTCTTCTTCTGCTCGGCCTCCGGTGCCTGCACATCTACCCCTTCCAGGTGCGGTACCGGCCTGCCCGCTACTCGAGTGTTTTTCCCCGCTGCAACCCCTCAATGTCACGGCTACAGGTAAGTACCGGCCCTGAGGGCCCAACGAACGAGCAAGTGCCCTGACGGGCCACACACATACTCATGCCAACCAACACTCAGACAGGCACGGTCACACACACACCCAAGCCAACCAACACTCAGACAGGCACGGTCACACACACACACTCAAGCCATCCAACACTCAGACAGACATGCAGTCCAGCAAGCGTGCACACACAGACTTAGTAGCCAGCGGGAAACTCAGCAGGGCATTCAGTCTATGGGCAAAACTCAGAAATCAGTTGTGTGCTTCAGTCTATGTATGGACGGGTCATCACAATATGCTTGATTGATAAAGGAGGTGTTATTGGTGAGGTTCAGAAGTAAGGTGATTGTTGCATGAAAAAAAAGAGTATTTGTGTGTTCGCAGCCCGTCGAGGTTGCATTTTCCCCCCCGGAGACATTTCAACGCCGATCAAATTTCAACGTCGGTGGTCGTCGGGAGGGTGGGCATTTTGAGGTTTTGGGACCTTGCAAGGGCCAGGACCACGTAGGACCGGTAGCTACCCGTAGGAGATCGAGGAGGCCGCGGTCCTTAAGCCTTTTTCGAAATTGAAACAGTGCGGGTGCACTTTTCTAGAATAGAAGAGTACCTCGAATACAAAACGTACACGTTGTATTCGGATACAACGTGTACCCTTTCTATTCGGATTTCGAAAAGAAAAAAACTTTTGTATTCCAATAAAATTACTACTTGTTTTTTGGAAGTCAACACCTACCCTTGTGCTCCCCGCCATTGACATGCTGCATATTGCAGCTCTCTCTCTCTCTCTCTCTCTCTCTCTCTCTCTCTCTCTCTCTCTCTCTCTCTCTCTCTCTCTCTCTCTCTC